TCTTACAGATACTTCTAAAGGATCTAGTACTCCAACTTAAATGCATTGTGTTCCGACATATTAGTAACTTAAATACGGCACCCAAGTTACTTTATCTCTTATACTTTTAGGGGGAATTTCATATCTTACAGATACTTCTAAAGGATCTAGTACTCCAACTTAAATGCATTGTGTTCCGACATATTAGTAACTTAAATACGGCACCCAAGTTACTTTATCTCTTATACTTTTAGGGGGAATTTCATATCTTACAGATACTTCTAAAGAATCTAGTACTCCAACTTAAATGCATTGTGTTCCGACATATTAGTAACTTAAATACGGCACCCAAGTTACTTTATCTCTTATACTTTTAGGGGGAATTTCATATCTTACAGATACTTCTAAAGGATATAGTACTCCAACTTAAATGCATTTTGTTCCGACATATTAGTAACTTAAATACGGCGCCAAAGTTACTTTATCTCTTATACTTTTAGGGGGAATTTCATATCTTACAGATACTTCTAAAGGATCTAGTACTCCAACTTAAATGCATTTTGTTCTGACATATTAGTAACTTAAATACGGCACCCAAGTTACTTTATCTCTTATACTTTTAGGGGGAATTTCATATCTTACAGATACTTCTAAAGGATCTAGTACTCCAACTTAAATGCATTGTGTTCCGACATATTAGTAACTTAAATATGGCACCCAAGTTACTTTATCTCTTATACTTTTAGGGGGAATTTCATATCTTACAGATACTTCTAAAGTATCTAGTACTCCAACTTAAATGCATTGTGTTCCGACATATTAGTAACTTAAATACGGCACCCAAGTTACTTTATCTCTTATACTTTTAGGGGGAATTTCATATCTTACAGATACTTCTAAAGGATCTAGTACTCCAACTTAAATGCATTGTGTTCCGACATATTAGTAACTTAAATATGGCACCCAAGTTACTTTATCTCTTATACTTTTAGGGGGAATTTCTTATCTTACAGATACTTCTAAAGGATCTAGTACTCCAACTTAAATGCATTTTGTTCCGACATATTAGTAACTTGAATACGGCGCCCCAAGTTACTTTATCTTTTATACTTTTGTGGGAATTTCATATCCTAAATACTTCTAAAGGATCTAGTACTCCAACTTAAATGCATTGTGTTCCGACATATTAGTAACTTAAATACGGCACCCAAATTACTTTATCTCTTATACTTTTAGGGGGAATTTCATATCTTACAGATACTTCTAAAGGATCTAGTACTCCAACTTAAATGCATTGTGTTCCGACATATTAGTAACTTAAATACGGCACCCAAATTACTTTATCTCTTATACTTTTAGGGGGAATTTCATATCTTACAGATACTTCTAAAGGATCTAGTACTCCAACTTAAATGCATTGTGTTCCGACATATTAGTAACTTAAATACGGCACCCAAGTTACTTTATCTCTTATACTTTTAGGGGGAATTTCATATCTTACAGATACTTCTAAAGGATCTAGTACTCCAACTTAAATGCATTGTGTTCCGACATATTAGTAACTTAAATACGGCACCCAAGTTACTTTATCTCTTATACTTTTAGGGGGAATTTCATATCTTACAGATACTTCTAAAGGATATAGTACTCCAACTTAAATGCATTTTGTTCCGACATATTAGTAACTTAAATACGGCGCCAAAGTTACTTTATCTTTTATACTTTTAGGGGGAATTTCATATCTTACAGATACTTCTAAAGGATCTAGTACTCCAACTTAAATGCATTGTGTTCCGACATATTAGTAACTTAAATACGGCACCCAAGTTACTTTATCTCTTATACTTTTAGGGGGAATTTCATATCTTACAGATACTTCTAAAGGATCCAGTACTCCAACTTAAATGCATTGTGTTCCGACATATTAGTAACTTAAATACGGCACCCAAGTTACTTTATCTCTTATACTTTTAGGGGGAATTTCATATCTTACAGATACTTCTAAAGGATCTAGTACTCCAACTTAAATGCATTGTGTTCCGACATATTAGTAACTTGAATACGGCGCCCCAAGTTACTTTATCTTTTATACTTTTGTGGGAATTTCATATCCTAAATACTTCTAAAGGATCTAGTACTCCAACTTAAATGCATTTTGTTCCGACATATTAGTAACTTAAATATGGCGCCCAAGTTACTTTCTCTTTTATACTTTTAGGGGGAATTTCATATCTTACAGATACTTCTAAAGGATCTAGTACTCCAACTTAAATGCATTTTGTTCCGATCTATTAGTAACTTGAATACGGCGCCCCAAGTTACTTTATCTTTTATACTTTTGTGGGAATTTCATATCCTAAATACTTTTAAAGGATCTAGTACTCCAACTTAAATGCATTGTGTTCCGACATATTAGTAACTTAAATACGGCACCCAAGTTACTTTATCTCTTATACTTTTAGGGGGAATTTCATATCTTACAGATACTTCTAAAGGATCTAGTACTCAACTTAAATGCATTGTGTTCCGACATATTAGTAACTTAAATACGGCACCCAAGTTACTTTATCTCTTATACTTTTAGGGGGAATTTCATATCTTACAGATACTTCTAAAGGATCTAGTACTCCAACTTAAATGCATTGTGTTCCAACATATTAGTAACTTAAATACGGCACCCAAGTTACTTTATCTCTTATACTTTTAGGGGGAATTTCATATCTTACAGATACTTCTAAAGGATATAGTACTCCAACTTAAATGCATTTTGTTCCGACATATTAGTAACTTAAATACGGCGCCAAAGTTACTTTATCTTTTATACTTTTAGGGGGAAGTTCATATCTTACAGATATTTCTAAAGGATCTAGTACTCCAACTTAAATGCATTTTAAAAGTGCTGTATTTTCGGGTCTATAAGTTGCTGTATAAGTCCCATCTTTGCATGTTTGATGCGTTGCTGCGGCCACAGATCTATGCCTCCATGCTTCGGACTGCCAGAAGAGCCGGCCATCCGGGGGGTGGTCTGCCGTTCCTCTTTCGTTATAAATGTTGATACAGCCTTCATATTGCAAAGTCAAGGTCCATGCTTTAAAAAAAGATGCGCTTAAAGGGTTGCTGAGCCGAAAATCGAATTTTAGAAAACAATGCAGAATCAATACGCAGACACTACAAATTCGAAAACGTCGCTCATAAAACGGTATCTCCAACGGATCGTCATTTTTAAGGGCGGAAAAGACGTGACCTCGCGATTTTCATTTCCTCCTCTTTTCGCTTTGACTCCGCGAGGGCAGGAAGAGGAACGGGAGCGAGGCCATTTCTCCTCCTTCTCAACTCTTCTGCGATGACGCCAACATTCTCCTTCATTCGCTCCTTTATTTTCCAGAAATATGGCCATCCACTTGAGATATGGCTATGAGTGATTTTTCGTGGTTTATGGTGCCCTGTTGAACACTGTGAAGGCTACAGCCCCTGCGACCGAATAAGAGCGTCAGAGCGAGGCATGTGACCCAACATCGCGGGAGCATGTGTGTGTGTCGCTGCGCGAAATGCAAGGCTCGGAGGAACCGGCTGTCGTCTGCTGCAAAACCAACCAACTTCAGATGAACGTCCACCGCTGCAACATTGACGTCCACTAGAATAGCGAGCACTTCGTCAACAGTTCATGCGACAACCGTATGTTCAATTTACCCGCGCATTTGTGGCGGGTGCTAATGCCAGGGCGACGTTTTGAGCGGAAGCAATCGATTAAAGAGCTGCAATCGTTCAAAAATCCTTCAAAAGTCGCATTCTCAGAGAAGGGTTGGTCCGAATTAAATATCATGAAAAAGTAACATGTCTTTGTCTTTCTTCCAAGCCGTGTAGCCTAGTGTCGATAGACATGGAATCGCGCAAGTTCAAGTGCCGTCAAAAGAAAAAAGGAGCCTAGAACTACTTGCTGTAGTGGTAACGAGGTCTCTGTGGCCTCGAGCATGCAGTGGTCAAGTGCCTTGCTCCGACACCGCTATTGGGTCCCGGGGGTCGCAGTCTTCACAGCTCGCCAAGTTATAGCTCAATCCCAAGCACTTCTGCTAGCCCTCTGAAGTAGGTGTCATGGTTGCTCACCTTGAGGGGACACAGTTCAGGCTCAGCAGACACGACATCTACTACGGACATTGCCTCCACTGCTGGCAGCACTGAAGCAGCAGCATAGAAGCGCATCTCCTGGCAAGGAAAGACTTCTAGAAACAGGCTTTTTGTGGCAAGGTGCGGGAAAACTTGCGTGCTTCTCAACTTAATTCCAAAGCGAGAGGGCACATGAGTGAATATAGGGGGTAACTGCAAGCCAGGATAGATGAAGACATGTTCTGAATCCCGGAGAAAAGCTCACCTACTTTTGTGCAGGTCCGGAGAAAAGCTACCGGTCTTTAGATAAACAGCTGGAGAAAAGCTCACCTGGAATTTAATTTTTACGCAAGGTGGTCTTTATCCCTTCAATGTTGATTTCATGAAGTGAACAATTTTTTCTTGTATTCTTGGACTGGGTTGAAAATTTTAGGAGCAGTATTGGAACTAAATCTACAGGCGGTATACATTTCAAAGCAAGGTGCTTTGCCGCAGCCCTCCGTTCACCTTTATGTCGACCCTTTTCGCACGAGTGTTGTGATATTTAATTGTGACGTAGCCACAAGGTGTCGAACCAGAACTGGAACTGAACCGTTTGTCGTTCCCGAACCGGAACAGAACCCGAAATAAAATGGTTGCCGCCATCTTGGAGCTGAACCTGAACCGAAGCAAAATGAAGGAACCATTCCAAACCGGTTTGCGACAAGTCGCAATTCATAAACAAACAATGGGCAAGAAAGTGCTGGGCATGGGAATACTTAGCGCTGTGACCTATGTCACGGAAGCACAGCTAGAAAACTGACCACCAAATGCAATGTAAAGAGCACCAGGCAGCACAATAGATGAAAGGGACTTGCGCATCCAGCTACGTCGATAATCGGCCACCGACGGTTTGTATGGCGAGAGACGCGCGCATAGAGAGAATGAAAAGAGTAAGTTTAATGCCGCCGCTCAGAGTGGTGACTCTTTCGCTTGCGGTCCCTGCGCCTCTGGTTCATGGCGTTCCTTGGATCGCTGATGTCGTATGCTTCCTCGGGGTTGACGTTGGCCGCATCTCGGGCCAGCACCGGACCTTGCTCCTCAAAGTGCAACGCGTGTGCCAACCTGCGCAAATCCCAACGCCATCGAGCCTTTTGAACAAGTTTTCGTAGGAATGACAGACTAGGATATAATGGGGAACTTTGGAGCCACAACGTTTTTTCATAATTCTTAAAGGTGTCAAATTACTCACGGCTTCTGCGACATTATGAATGGACTGTTTTGAACTCGACCTTTATACATTCCGGTCTTTGTTTGAACTTAAGACGAGCTGGTGATCTAGAAGTCGACTTGTCGACTGGCAGAGGGCACCAGGGTGACTCCACAAACAAACAAATTGGAATAAGCTTGAGTTCATGCGGCCCAAATACATCCCAGATTGTACATACTGAGTCTGGTCATCGACGGAGCCACTCGTCATACTGCAGCGTCTCACCAACACCCAATACGACACCATTAACTAAGTGTCTGCATGTGAACAAATGGCATAGGTGGCGGACCCTATTCGTCAACATGTCTTATTGGAAGTGAAAAAGCTAGGCATGTGCGTATAGTGGATTTTGAATTCAAAGCGAGTTTAAAGCAAATAGTGGCTTGTAACGTAACGGTGCACCCCAAAAGACAACCACTCTAAGAACACAAGCACACAATAAAAAAAACCTCGCTCAACAATTTTTTTTTTTTTTTGTGGATTGCAGTTTTATGAAGTCCAATGGCTTAGATTAGGATGGCAAGTAAATGAGACATCAGCCCTAAAAATAAAGTTACTATAGAAGTGCCCAGATATACCTAGTCGAGGGAATGCATAGGTCTTGCTATTTGCAAATATCTTCTCCAAATTTGAGAGGATAAAAAGAATCATGAATTATGGTAATGCAATTAAATGCAACGGTGCAAGCTAGCTGGACAAGAATGACGAAAATAATCCCTGGAGAAGAGGAACAAGGGTAACAAGAAGAGTGGTTGTTTGGGCGAGTTGGTTTGACATCTTATACAATCTTGTGCGCAACTTGAGCACAATAACAACGTGCAAAAAAAGAATGGTGGCTTTCTTGACTTGCATTGCAGGACATGCGGGTGTACCCCACTGTTGGATGAATGCGTAAAAATTGGGAAATGCAAGTCAGCGGTAACACGCGAAATCATAGAAGCCGAGCACATTGATTATTTAGGAGACATGTGTGTTGCTATGCCGTCGATCGCATTATCGGAGAAGGAATTGTTTTTCCTGAGAACGAGATAGTGTTGTTTCCCAGTTATGCTCTGTCATGGTGTTTATTTTTCCTTTACTTTTGTCTTTTTTTGTTGTTGTCATTGTAACGATGGTTGAGACTATATATATACCGGAACACGTTTTCAATAAAATTCAGTTGAAAGTTGCGCCTTGTTGTGTCCTCTTCTCTCCTTTTGTCCTCGTCTTTGTTGCGCACAAGATTGTATAAGAAGGGTAACAAAGGACAAACACAAATCACCAAACACAGCTAGTTGACTGGTGCGCGACCCTGGTTCTATACCAGGACCAGGTGGATTTTTTCAGTTGCACACCAGTCGCCTTGTTGTGTTTGGAGATTTGCGTTTGTCCTTTGTCTCCTTTGTTCCCCTTCTTCAGGGATTATTTTCGTCATTCTTGTCCAGCTCGCTTGCCCCTTTGCATTAATTGCGTTTTCACCTTAAATTGCAGGCCATTCACCGTTGTTGGTGTTAGACTTGTGGCAGCTGATAAAACCTGTTTGCTCTACTGACGTCTGACTCCTAGTTAGCTCAGTTAGCAGGGCGCTCCACCGGAAATATAGAGGTCCCTGGTTCGATACCAGGACCAGGCAGATTTTTTTCAGTCGCACACCAGTCACCTAGCTGTGCTTGTAGATCTGTGTTTGTCCTTTGCCCCCTTGTACCCCTCTCCAGGAATTATTTTCGTCAATCACGAATGATAAATTAAGGTTGTCAGGACATCTCTGCCTAAAACATACTCTTGCATAATAACCACAGTTCAATCCTGAAAATTTTATTCTAGTGTAGATATCGAAATCCACACTAGTGTAAATACCGAAATCCACAAAGTTTCCGCTTCGAAAGTCTACTTTCCTCTCAAGTTGCTGACTGGCCCATATGTAGTCTTTGAGATGACGATCGCAGCGGGTTAGCCTCTTTGAGCGCACTTCCTACCGAGCGGCGGTGCACTGCGGAGAAGCAACACCCGTGAAAGCGAGATCCGCACGTGCGTCTTCTCTGCAGTGCAACGCTGCTTGGTAAGAAGCGTGCTCAAAGGGGCTAACCCTCCACAATCGACACTCGAAAAAATACGAGCATCACACTCAGTGCACGCATCACCCTCCTTATGCATAAACGAAGTAAGTACGTAACAGCCGCGTGTCGCCTGCTACGTTGGTTACAAGCCGAGCTGGGCACGCTTAAGTTTGTCGGGTTCGCTTGTCCTTGCCATCGCATTGAAGGCAGAGCACAAGGACAAAGCCACGGTAAAGGAACACGCGAGACGCACGCAAGCGTCTGTGTCTTTGTCCTTATGCGATAGTTCTTATTATGTCTACTATCTACCTGCTCATTATATAGCCACCAGCAGAGGGAAAACGGCAAGGCGTTTCTTCTGAACGCCCGACCTGTGGCACGCACTCCGTGCCTTCCGCCGCGCTTTGGCCGCGTGTGCGCACTCGGTGTGCACGAGACGTTGAAGCGTCGTCATAGGTAGGGAGCTCGTGCTGGAGGCGGGACGACTGAATCCCCTCCCAACCGTTCTCTCCTTCTTCAAATCGAATTGTGTCGGCTCACCACCGGTCGGAGCCCTCCTCCTCTTCCCCCTCCTTTTCCGGACTTGCAGGTTCCCGTTCCTGGACCTCCTTCAGCTTTGCTTGGAACTTGGCTAGGGCCGCCAACGTCTGCACGGAGACAAGCGAGCCGTGAACCCCCGGATCCAGAGTCCGGAACGGCAAACCATGTCGCTGAAAACTTTTCGCACCATTTCAATCCGTTCGACTGAACCGTCGTACGCAGGGTCGCGTTTTAGGCGAAATGTCGGCCGACGGTCAAGTTCGGCATCCGTCCCCCTGGCACGGACCGACACGTCTTTTCCGAAACGTCGCCTCGTCATCCTTTCGTGAGCGCGAAACCGAAACTAGCTTTTATTTCGAGACATCAAGTATGAAACAAAATTTTTAAAATTACTTTCGGTTAAAATGTATTTTTGAGTTTTCTACAAGGTGGATCTAAGAGGTGGTTCATGCAGCACCATTTTCTTACATTACAACGCTTATGAAGGCTTATGTTGAGATAGACAGCAAGTTGCCGGCACATCTGTGCTAGGTGTTTTGCATGCCAAGCTATTAACCGGTTGCGAAGCTTCGTACTAAGCACGGATGTTCTCATGCAAGCGTACGTGAGTTTCGTAACGCAAGACAACAGTGCTGCGTGAAGCAGCCTTTAATCTGTAGAAATGAGCTGGAAAAATCGGTGCGTGCACGCAGAAAGCACAACCTTTCACAGAAGGTGCATCGAGATGATCAATTTTACTTTGTGAAATGTCAAGGCATAGTTCTCCTTGGGTAAACGAGACCAACAAACTTGCCAAAGTCGATGCCGTTTATGTTCACAGACGACCGAAATAGCAATTAATGTAACTTGTGGTGCCATTTCCCAATAGGTGCAGTGAGCAGACAACGCAATTGTTGTCGGCTACCTGTGCCTAGCTTGAGCTTTCTATGTGCAAATGCCAACTTTCCTAACTCGCTTTTTTTTTTTTTTTTTTTTTTGAGCTTGGTGTTTTTTTTAATTTTGCGAGAAATCATTAGTCACCTGAAATACAGTCAGAAGCCGATGTGCGGTGTTTCGCGCAGTCCTCAAAAGAACAAATTGCTCACCTGCTGTTCCCTCTGCGATCCTTTCTTCAGCTGCGTTTTCTTCTTCTCCGTATAGAGCCGCTGCTCATCCCGATATGCCTTGAACAGCGCGTTCCTCCGCTCTTCCTCCGTCTCGCTGTTCTCGTCTTCTTGCCCTGCATGCACAGCCGAACTGCATTAGCGAGGGCAAAACTAGGAGAAGCCCTGCATCACTCGGTAACTGAAGGATAGCGAAACAATCATACTGCTGTATGGTCTCAAATTGCTGTGTGTGCTAGTCTGGGACTGTCACGTGCTATCTTCGACGTCAGTTTGCTCACTTCTTGACACTTAGAGACACACAGTCCTCCTGACATGCTCATCAAAAGACATGTTTTCCAAATAAAACGGGGTGAAAGACATATCAAATAAAACCATATAAACGGCATTTTGCTGCATCGCTTGCTGCTCTCTGTTCTATGCTGTAGTAAAATAAAAACAAGAAAATTAAATCCTTTCAAGCACTACACAGGCAAAGGCAGCAGTAATGCAGAATGTATGCTGCATTGCTCTGCAAGGACCCCAAAGCGGGGATGTTGCAAAGGAGAATTCGGTATGCGCATTTTACGCCTCGACGGTGTGCACATCGTCGCGTGTGGAGTCTCCGAAAGAAAGCTCCCTGCCAGCAGTCCACAAAGTGGAAAGCGTAGTTCGCATTCCATTTTGCAGTTGTCTGCAGTCACGCGCTTCAGCTTCGACCCTACTATTTCGTGTCTTCCCGTTTCTTCCAAAGCCCATGCTCTTGCCCCCTTCACTCCTGCACACGCCCTCATCGCATGTGGGCTTGCTGTCTTGTGATGACATTTCAAACTCGCATTTCCCGCACGTGCCGTTGAAGCAGTTGGTTTAGCATTGGATTTACAACCAGAGAAACCCTGGTTCAAAACTGAACGCTTCCACATTTTCTCCGGTGCTTTCCTTACACTGGTGGAGTACTGTACAATGCTCCAGCATCAAGGACTGGGTTACAGGACTGCATTACAGGAATGTGCATTACAGAAATATACATTACAGGAATGTGCATTAGAGGAATGTGCATTATAGAAATGTGCGTTACGCAAATCTCTGTTACAGGGCACTGCTACGAGCCAGCCCTATAACGCATTCCATGTTAAAACTAAAGAAAAACCATCCGAGGGGGACAGACAACACTGAGTATGTTGTCTGTTCTCTTTTTTTAGCATTTCAGTTGTAAGTGGATGCCAAAACTTTTTTTCCAAATGGTTTTAAACATTTCCCATTGCAAAGATAGCCAGTGCTCAAGTCTCCGAAGAGGTAGCGCCCCTCTCTCACCATCTCCTTCAGCAGCCTTTTCCTGGCGAGCCTCTTCCTGTGCCCGCATCTCCCGCTTGAGTTGCCGGAACTCCTTTCGAATCTCTCCGCTGAAACCAGACAGAAGGACTGTGAGGCCTCTGGTAATCATGGGTCTCATACTAGCCAGAGGGTAGCCTGCTAAACAGAAACAAGGCAAGGCCGCACAATGTGGCCAAGTATTCAATCGCGATCCACATAGACATACCCTTCCTACTCACCTCTGCGCAAACACAGCTGGAGTTAGGCTTTGGAGACAGTCGCTGTCATATCACAGAGTAATAACGAAAGAGTTTGCCTTTGCATGGAAGCACGCCACCTGTTTCGAAATACATACATTGCCTAGAGAAAAAAACTTAGGTTCCATTTTTCTACGCTAAAAAAATATGTATGGCATCCCAAATTGTGAAACACAATGCAAGATGTGCCAAGAGCCTGTAAATAATTTATCGGCACACAACGAAGCCTCCACCGCACTGCAGTATTTTCAGCAAATGCGACCACTGCCATAGTTGCACTCCCTTGTCCATGACCTCACACCAGCAATCGAACCCAAAATACTAAGCGGAACAAACGCAACGTTGAAGTATTTACCACAACTCGGCGTATTTCACATTGTATTCAAAAGATTAATTGTGCATCGTTCAATTTTCCCTAGAGTAAGTTTTACCAATCTCCTAATCGCCTCTTTGTGACTGTAATCCTTCTTTCTTCCGTCTTTCCATCCCCATCAGCAAAAGCCAGGGCTCCGGCCCAATCCATTGCCCTCTTAGGGAGGGCAGGCCAAAGCCCCGTGTACTTCACAACCAAGTGCTCTAGTGTCTCGCTTTCATTATGGCATGTGGCATATAATGTATCTGTCCCTTGAAATGTAGCCCTATGCATCCTCGTCCTCAAAACTCCCGTTCTTGCCTCAAACAGTAAAGAACTTCTGAGTGAATTGTCAAACACATTTTCTTTTCTTAAGTCCTGCTTTTGTAACCCATACATTGTTAGAGCTAATTTTTCCTGAGTTCTTCCCTCCCAGATTTTTCTTTCTGCCCCTTTCACCCCCTTTTCTGCTGAAGTAGTAGTCTGTTCAGCCCTATCACTAGTGTGTAGGTATTTAAATGTAAGCTTTCGGGTTCAGTTTGTCTACTTTGCATTTAAACTTTTCCATGTATAAATCCTTGAATACCTTCCGTGTCCACCACTTATCATCCATTTTGGTCCACCACTGTTTTTACCAATTGCCTCCCTACTCTCAAAAGACAACCAGCCCATGTCCCCCTATACTCCCTCATTTGGTGTTTTTCCATGTGCTCCCAGTGCCAATCTGCCTACGCTTCTTTGTCGAATTTCTAATCCTGATTGAACCTCTAATTTCATGGACAGTACTCTATTGCCAAAAGACAGTCCTGGTACCATCACTCCTTTCCATATACCTCTGACCACTTCATATCTATTATAGTTCCATAGTGCCCTGAGCTTGAAACATTGAAACTGCTCTCTTTCCGTCCACAACGATTGGGGGAAAACCATAGGAAAAAGCTGGTTTTCACAGCTTGACCAGTCCTTGGTACCCCTATAAAGCAAGCAACACATACTTAGGTGGAAAACAAGATATAAGAAAAAATCCATCAATAAATAAAACAAATAAGCACACAAATATATCCAATATGAGGTACTGTCGAGACCGGTTGCACTGAAGTTGGTTATAATGAAATAGCGGCTACAGTGAAGCGATCACCATTTCCAATTCCCTATTGCATTTTTTCAATGCATTTGTGTCTGTTTTTAACGAAGGAAATTGAGCGGCTCCTGCGGATATAGAAAAGAGAAATTTTGTGATAAGTTAAAAAAAGAATAAAATGCTGATCTAAGTTTCAGACTGCCGCACTTTGCTGCCGCAGCCGAAAAGCCACCCAGAACAGGAAGCAAAAGATGCTGGAAAGGCCGGCGGTGGCAGTCTCTGCAACGTCGTCTGCTCCCCGCTCCTTATCTGGGAAGCCGCTTTAGCGCATCGCAAGCGGAGAAGCTGTTGTGGCATGCCGATAGGGGCGTTCGGAGCGCTGGCAACAATGTACCGGCAGAGATGACAGACGAGCCAAGACTTGAGAGAGGGAGCACTAAGTATGCCTGCATTTGATTGTCGCGTGGCCAGTGTGGCGAGGAAACTGCGCGGGGAGGCGGACACATTTGCAGAAGGTGAACACTTTTGAGTTTTGACTCCTTGCATGTTGCAACTCATTTTGCAAACGCGGCCCACAAACCACAGGACCCCAATCCAGCAGTTGCCCCATCTACACCGACGACAGACAGGCTTGAGTGCAAACTCGGTGCCGTGCACACTTCTTTGTTTGCTTCCTGATCCGTGTCAACATATGGACGGTGAGGTCGCTCTTGCACAAAAGTCTACTTCACTCAAGCACCGATTCGGCGAATCATCGCCACTCAACGATAGAGAATCCCGGCACCGCCGGCACCTTGGCGGGAAAGACGAAGGCAATCTGCTCGAATTAAAAGCGTGCCATCCTTGACGGTGTGCGCATAAACGTAAAGAATGGCATCCATTACCGGCATCCTCCGCGGGGCCGTCGCAGCTGTCGACACGGTTTGTATGTATTAAGATCTCTTTTCGATCGGAGCCTCTCGCAGTTGGGGAGAAGCGGCTCAGATCTAGCAGAGGACGCGTGCAGGGAAACCTCGACCGCTTTCTGCAGGCTCGATAAACATGTGCCCGTGACAACCCGTGTTATCTTTGTTTTTTCATGTTTATTTGTACGAGTTCATATATAATGAAGAAGCGGATATAGCGAAGCGATTTCCGATTCCCGTTGACTTCGTTATAACCGGTCTCGACAGTATGTTTCAGTAGCAAATATTATACAATGTTAGGTATATTGTTTTTGCTCAATGACATAAAATCAATTTCTAGTGACGCGGCATGATTTAGTAGTTTGAGAAAGTATGTTTATTTCTTTGACGTCCAAAGTTTGTTCGTGATTGTGGCATATGCCATGGATGTATCTAATGAGTTTGACAAATTGAATTCAACAAATGAAGGTCAGCGGTGGTGAGAAATGTTTCAAACTTTCCTTTCATGGCAGACTGGAATATTAATATTAATTGTTGAGAATAAATTTTTGATACATCAAGTATGGAGTATTTATCAAAAAGAGGCAAGGATAGAAAGTTAAAAGGGTCGTTTGCTACGGCTCGCACAGCATTTTTTTTTTTTTTGCAATATCCAGAGTAGTTTAAATTTGCTATGCCAGTAGACCCCCATAGTAGATTCACATAGCATAAGATGGGATAGAATAGTGATTCAGAAAGTTGAATTTTGACACCTGTGGGTAAGATGTTTCTATATTTATTTATCAGACCAACTATTCAGGAAAGTTTAGTGCGAACATGTCTACTATGGTCGTTCCAAGACAAGTTATAAAAAATCGGTACACACAGAGTTTTTAGATTTTCAACATAATATATAATATCAGTGCCATATTTCAGAGAGGATGAGTTGAGCTCTTGAGTGCAGTTAAAATATTATAGCCTTGCTCTTGCTAGCATTTATATGACGGGAGTTATTTTCACAACAGATTTTTAACTTTTAAAGGACATTATTTGCTTTGCTAGTACGATGTTCCCTATCTGAATCGGAAATAATCATACTTGTGTCATCCCATAAATACTAAAATATACAGCAGACTCAATGGTGATAATATCATTTATATAAAAAAGAAATAAAAGGGGACCTAGGATGCTTTCTTGGGGAACACTGCAATTAATATATAAATGGAAAGGGCCTATGCTCGTTTATAGAAACATATTGGCAACGGTTTTCAAAATATGACTTTAACAAGGAAAATTAAACACCCCAAAAGCCATAAGAAAATAGCTTATCAAAAAGTATACCATGGTTGATGCAATCGAACGCTTTATTGAAGTCAAGGAAAGTACCAATCATTGATAACTGTTTTTTCTAAATTGTCTAAAATTTGCTTTTTAGTGCAAAAGTGCAAACGTAAATTTTCTAAATCCAAATTGAGATTCTAATATTAGATTATGGTGAACTGAGAAATCTGTAATCCTCGAGTGCATAAGCTTTTCTAGGGCTTTTGAAAAAATTGGAAGAATGGATGTTGGACGATCATTCCCCATACTATTTCTTCGGAATGACGCAGGACGGGAAGGACGTGTCCGCCTGCGCTCCGCAAAAAGACGTATGTGGCTCGTGCGAGGCTCGCTTCTACGCGAAGCAGCAGTTTCTTGTCTGCTCGGCAGGTTGCAATCGCCGTTTTCATTGTAAGTGCTTGAACGTCACCCATGAAGAGTACAATTTCTACATGAAGAGTGGCACGAGCGCTTTCAAGTGCTCGGGCTGCACCCGAAGGAGTAGTGCGTCACCGAGGAATGACGCCGCTGCTGGTATCGGAGGTGTGGTTCCCGCTCCTGTGGCGTTCGTCGAACCATCGAATGTGACGCTCGATGACGGCTCCGTTCCGCCCGCTCTGCTACGCCTCATCGAAAGCCTGTCAAGCAAATTGGACATCGTTACGGCAGAACTCAAGTGCCTTAGGGCGGACAACAACAGCCTTCGCTCCGAAGTGCTTCATCTCCGTAAAAGTGTCCATGAACGAATGCCTCTTCCGTCTTCTTCATCAACCATGTACGCGTCCGTCGCAGCGCTGCCGCCTGCTGCACCAACGTCAGTGTTGAGACCTCGAGCTGCAGATTCGCTTCTCAACACAGTTCCAGGGACGAATCTGGTTGGGGCTGGCTTGGAATCGAGTCCCTCAAAGGGTGCGAGAGCTGCGGGTGAGAAGGACGCTGTGGACGACGGCTACACAACGGTGGGGCCCCGGCGGCGAACCAAGCCGTCAGCTGGAACGGCTAAACCAAGTAAGGTGACCGCTGTCCCTCGGAAGAATCGTCGTTTGGCACTTTTTGTATCTAGGCTAGATCCGGATACGAGCGTGGACGATGTTCTTGCACTTATCGAACCTCTTGTAGCGGGGAGGCAGGTCCTGTGTTCAAAAATGTTTACACGATTTGACACATACTCTTCGTTCCACATCTCGGGTGACGA